AGCCATAAAAACCCCCTTTAAACGAAATAGAATTTTGTTTGCTTGTAAAAATGTTTAATTATGATTTGTATAAGCCCCCCCCCCCCCCCGTTCCAACTTTCAAAAACGATACTATGTGACAGAGAGAGAGGAGGGAGAGAATGTCATGCCCATTAACCTGCTAAAACAGACCAGTAAAGAGTTTAGAATCGACATTTTTGGGCGAGAATTGCACACACAGATGTCATTGCTCCGCCCCCCTCAAAATGTCGAAGTATAGAATACTATCGAAAACAGGATTTATATCCTTGTTTCACATCAATAATAAACTTTTTTGAATTTTTTTCCGTCAGGGAGGTTTTTAGTAATCCTACCCAACCGAAATTATTTTGTTTGCATCCCCCCTCAACCGAAAATATTTTGTTCGCATCCCCCTCAACCGAAATTGGTTCCAACGGCCACGCTGTTGTATCTTTATGATAAAAACGAAACAAGGTGAAAGGCTTTTTCACTGTCTAAATTAATGACATGTATGAAATATTAATACAATTAAAAGGAAACAACCTAATTTGATTTAGAATTTTAATCTGATGTTCTCGTTTGTAATTGTATACACAGATTATGCATACATAGCAAATAAATCACGAAGACACTATATAAGAAGATATAAATTTAGAAATACAGGTATTTACTTTTGAATGTTAACGGGAATATCCATTCAACATGAAAATCATGTATTGACCCCCCCCCCCCCCCAAAAAAAAAGACCCCCCTTCAATCCATATACGAGTATGAGCTCGAGATTGTAAACTCTTGGACTCATTTCGCACAGCATTAATGATTACTATGTGTCAACATTAACCACATTTAAACCAAGAGGATTTGAAATCAAAAAATGTGCAGCATAATATTACACACATATTACAGAACACCTGAGACTTAAAAACAGTTAAGTAGGTCATGTTATCCAAATGCGCATTTATTTCCATTCGGGGTAAGAGAGTCGCCATTAAAATCTACGCTGAAGTCAGGTAATACCAATTACTCTTTTCGAATAAAATGTAAAAAGTTTACGTTGAATATTTTTTTCTTATCTCTCAATCAAGACTTAATTAATTCTATACATATTAAAATTCTTATTTTTTCACTTAGCCCTATATGTAATTATTTGGTATTTTTGAAAAGATGAAATGCACATGCCATTACAGAGAATTTTTCATTTTGTTAATTATGTTCTTTTTTTTCTTAAGATATCATAATATTATAATAATTTATGCACAATCAAACCTCATTATTCCAAAATCAATGGGATCAAGATCATTTTTTTTTACCTTGACATACAGTAAACATTGTTTAAAATATAAAGTGAAAATGAAAAAAAAAATATTCAATTTGTAAATTTAATTAATTTTCGGTGTTCTCGAGGTATGTAGAGACCCATGAATTCATGACCACCACGAAATGAAAAAAGAATGTATTCACAATGACAAAAAAATTGATCTATGGAAGAGAACAATTTCCCTGAAAAAGTGACACTTAAAAATTAATTTTTATTTGTTGTTTTCTACGGTATATGTGTCTAAATTTTTTAAATTTATATTTTATACCTAGAATATATTATATACAAAATTACAATAAACCTCCAAAGTTGGCCGAAACTCCATTTTGTCCGTTAAAGCGTAGATTTTTGCATGAGTTTTGGCCTAGAAGTACTGCAGGACAGGCCTGCCCCTAAATAAAATTGTGATATTTTGATAAGTTTGGATGTAAGAAATAATCTAAGATAGGATTTTTTAGGGGCACCCCTGTCCTCGGGTCGAAATTCATAACAAACCTACAAAAAACGAAAACCTGATTTTAATAATCTGTTTCCAATTTATACATTTTAAATCTTGTAGTCAGACTAGCTCAGTTTATACATGTATGCGTTTACTACTACACCCTGCGCTCCAACGTTTTAAGGATTGGGGGTTCGAATCCACCTGGTACCAGACTTTTAAAGTGTTAAATTTTCACCTTTTCAAAGACTACTTTAATATTTCTTTATAGACTGGTGTATTTTGCATCAATAATCTATTCTTTAGGCATGCTCATTCTTGATATAAGAAACACTAAAAACACCCCTACTAATGTTATTGTGATTTAAATTCAAGACACGTGGTTTAATTTACCTATTCAAAGGTTATAGGGTAGAACCAGTGTTATAAATAAAATTGGCAGTAAACAGGAAATTGCTATAGTCTGTTTCTTCTGTAAACTTGCCCTGTGAAAAATGTGTTTCCTCACCTTTCTGAAAAACGTTCATAATTTTCAACAGAAATGGGTGGCTTAAGGGGGGGGGGGGGGTTAATTACAATTAATACATCTTATCATAGTTTACTGTAAAAATTACAGCTCACTAACGACCGATACGCTGGTAAAAATGTGTAATGACATCTACACTGACAAACCTTTGTTTGCCTTATATGGCTATTGCTATAAATGCACACAGAGGGTCTTACCACGAGCAACTGACCAATTGTTGACTGAATACGTTTACGCCAAATACATGTTTACATGTTACTTCGAACACGTGGTTCAGGTCAATCTATAATCATGTCAGTGTAGTGTAAAATAAAAAAAATGTTCTTATGAACAAAATGCAAACATTAGAAACTATGAAAAATTATCACGGGCGTTTTTAGTTTGTTGTAAATTAGAGAAAAATACGTTTAATTAAATGTATACCTAGTTAGTGTCAAGTTCAGAACACCAGCATTTCAAGGGTAAGGAGGACGAGCAGTTTCTCGTATGCATTTAAATGGATAAAACATTTTTTTATACAACTATACTAGTGATCACGTGTGTTGGCCAAGGAATCCACCTGACAATTGTATTCACCGATAGTACAATGAAGGAATTTGTCAAGCGTAAAATTACTGTAGTATTCGTATAGTAACCTGTAATGCAGTTCTCATTCATCTGATTTGTCACTGGTGCCTCATTTGCTAATCTGAAGCCAAAAATATAGTCCCGATTCCCATGCAAAATATTTGTCCAAAAAGAAATTATAATTCATAACAGCAGAATATTGTATCATAGAGAATACTTATAAATTTAAACTTGAATTAATTCAAGAAAGATCGATTGAAGTTCATTTCTACAGAATGATATTATAGGGTGGTGAAAACTAAAACGCAGCATAACTTTTCTGTTTACCATGTCTCCACGTGCTAGTCCCTTCCTAGCCACATATCCGTGAATAATTTACCCTATCTCCCTGAAGTCTCGCTAACTCTCGCCAGAGCCACTGCCAGAGCTACTCTGAACTCATCGGGTTTTATAATTTGCAGAACACCGAAAAATAAAAGGTTCCGAACACATTAATAGGGGTGAAAAAGATATCAAATAGTAACAATCCAATGTTATAGTTGTCAGTCAGGCGGAACAAACCTCAGTACGTATAAGCACACTTTCTCCGAGGACAAGAACAACTTATTCTGTGTTACTCAATACAGGTATTCTTGGCAGTATTGAGCTGCGAAGAATTTCAATTGTATATATTCCTTAGAATTTAATCACATTGATTTTGTTGATTTTGGCTACATATATCAGTTGCTAAACTCCTTTGTATTTGATTTAGGCCTATATAATTTGCACGCATTAATGGCATGTTTTATTATATTAACGAATAAAATAGTCTAGATATAAAGAACAGAATTTCAGAGACAGTAAACGTTACCATTATGCACATTGAGAAGTTAAGACAAATATCAAGTATTACATTTGGAGATAACAAACTCAGGAAATCAATGAAATGGTTTCTCGATCGTACCTCTACTCGCTGAAAAAAAGATTTAGGAAAAACAATTTGTTATATGAATTCAGCCTGTCATTAATCGGAACAGAAATAGACAAGGTTTTTGTAGAGAAAAAACCAAGCCCGGTCCTATAGGTCAAATCCCTATTTAGAATGAAGTGATCCTTTGATATGTTTTTCCACTCAATACTTCTTTCACCACGAAATCAATTTCCCACATATCAATATTTTTTTCTCAATTAAACTTCGAAAATTTGTCCCCGCTAAAATATGTGATTTTACAGAATGCTGACATGAGCAGTTTGAAAATCAATGATCTAAGTCACTTTGTTACTAAGGTGACTTATTATTATTAAATCTCAATCGTCTATCCGTCTGTCACAAAATCTTTAACCTTGGTCATAACTTTTAAATGAGAAAAGATAGGGATTTCACATGTACACATGACACGATCTTTCAAAATATACTACGATTTTTGACCCCCTTGACCTTGTAGATTGACCAACTTATCTAATTTTTAAATTGGTCATAACTTTTGAAAGAGAAAAGATAAGGCTTTCCTATTAAACATGCATATTTGCTGTGAGAAGACCTTATCTATACTATATATATACTATCATAATTTTTTACCCCTACTTTTCGGAAATGTTATTTTTCCTTATAACTTTTGAATGGACGGAGATAGGGCTTTCATATTTGATATATGCATTTTCTGAGACAAGATATATCGAAGTGCTATGGGATTGTACCTTCATGTTTGACCTAATTTTAAAAAAGTTTTAACTTGGTGATTACTTTTGAATGACAAAGGGGAAGGGGGGACTTACATATTGTACACAAATATGCATCCTATCCAATAAGACACCGAAAGCTGGGGACCTCAATTCTTTAAATTTGCTTGTTGAATGTCATGGTAAATATCTGGAAAACCCCTTTTATCAAAGTTTTAAAGTATATAAAGTGTTATGGGTTGTTAATTCTCTTTAACGTAAATATCCAGTGTATTCAAAATATTAATGGTCGAGAAAAGAATGTTCAACTGTAAGTTTTTCATTGAGTAACACCTTTTTAAGGAAAATTACATTGTCTTGCATGTGCATGTCACTGAAAATATTATTTTTTTATAATATTATGAGACTAATTTATGGAATTATATTTTTTTCATAATTATCTTTATTTTCTTTTATTAAAAAATTCTGAATGTTTCCTTTAAATTCTAGTCATGGACCCACACATTCGTGCCCAGGAGTTGATACGATGTGACCAGTGTAAGACTGAAATGGTACAGGTTCACTGTGATACGTGTAATGTCAGACTGTGCAATTCCTGTATTGGAGAACACATGGCATCTGACGAATCCAAGAAAAAGCATGAAATTGTAAGATTCACGTTTCGAAAGTCGATACCACTTTACCCTCGATGTTCCTTTCATGACAAAGAGCGATGTGAAATGTACTGTAATCAGTGTAATGTTCCCCTCTGCATCACTTGCATTGCATCTGAAATACATTCAACCCATAAGATATTGAAAATTTTGCAAATTATGGATGAAAGAAAAGAGAGGATTTTCAAAGAACGAACTGAATTAGCTGAAACAATACTTCCTACATGTATGTATCTCGACATTGCATCTGACGTAGAAAACACAATAATGCAATTAGAACAGGGATATGGGGATCTCTCAACAGCCATAACAAATCATGGGAATGAATGGCACAGAATAATTTATCAGAGTGTTAAAAAACTTCATGCTAAGGTTAACAAGATGAAACTCAAACAGTTACAAGCTCTACAGACTCATCTGGATGAAATTAAGGAAAAAATTTCTGTTATAAAGGATGAAATTAACTCAACTGATGATGTAGATTCCTTTGACATTTCAAATGTGCTTAGTTTTAGATTAAACATACATAATGAATATACCAAACTTCCCAAAAGAATCGTGCCAACTTTACCTAAATTCACTCCGGGAGAAGTACAAGAGGACGAACTTTGTAACTAGTTTGGAATTTTATCAACAAGTAAATTAACTTCAGAAAAATGTGGATACCAAATAAATAAACCACAAAAATTTCCAGAAGCTATATCCTCTCCTCCAGTAAAACAGCTGCTTGATAAACAAGAGATCATCGCTTCTATAAAGACTGAAAGTGGTTCAAACCTGTATGACGTTGCCTGTCTAAATGAAGATGAGATCTGGACATGTGGAGATCGGAACACAATGAAGCTCTATAGTATCAGTGATGGCTCACTTCTCATGTCAATCATAACAAAGTCAAAAAACATCCCTGACAAGAATAGATATGGGTTACCCCATATCCAAAGATATTCGACTGTTAGATTTAATATGTTTAACAGTGTTTATAATGACGTTAATAAAAAAAAATGCACTGTCTAATTATGGAACTGTTGTAAATATCGTGATTCCATAGCATTACGGTCACCCAGTCTTCTAACAAACAGTACACATAGGCCTACATGTACCTGTAGCCTTGGTCTACACACGTGCAATGGAGCTGTCACACGCATCCAGCGAGCTCGGAGAAACACGTTTTGTTTTGCCGAGAAGTTACGGTGTCAGACAAAACTTTTCTTTTCTTAATTAGATCATATAAATACGAATTCTGATTAATAAAAATTATACAATCCCTGTTGAACTTTATATAGTTTGTTCTAACATTTGCATCTGCAACAACTTGTGTTTAAAATGGCCGGGTTGGGAAAATCAGGACCGGGTCGGAAAATTCTAAACTGAAAACATGGAAAACCTTTTTTGTTTTGAAAATAACTGAAATATACTAATATATTTGTCGCAGAAATTACTTACATTATTCAAGTTCTATATATAATGGTATGCTGAACTTCAACACGAACCCGAATCTCCAACCCATGCAGTTCTCGTTTTGCCACACATACCCTACAGTTTACAAAGTGTAAACACGAGCAGGCCAGGGATTGAAAATTCCGTCATTTAATAATACACACACACAGCTGCTAGAATGATTAATTTTTTCTTTAAGAACAAATTGTATGATAATTAACGGACTATAAACATGTACTTAATACAATTGTTGATATAGTATTATCAATTCATTGGTGAAAAGATATGAATCGAAGAATGACCTAATTATTCTCTGTTATCAAACACGTAAAAAAAAAGGCTGAGGAGGGAGCGAGCGTAGGAATATTGATATTTTTTATTTGCATTTCGGGGGGAAAGTGACTTTCTAATGATATTTTGACGTTATTTTTGATTTCTTTAACGTATGACATACACAACTTTACTCTTATCATGAACAATAATGTTGTATCTACTTATCATGATGGAATTATTTTGGTCGGACCAATATGTGTGAGCTGCCGCTGAATACAGTTATATATCTTGCAAAGATAGTATGCATTGATCGAATATATAGAAAACATAACAGTAATAAAAGATGGCCATCTTGTTTATACTGATCCCAATGACAAAAGTGTGAACATTGTAAAGAATAAAGAAAATGATATTGTGGTCAAACTACAAAAGTGGCGACCTTTAAATGTCTGCAGCACTTCCTCTGGTGATCTCCTGGTTGTCATGGACAGTGATGATAACAAACAAGCAAAAGTTGTCCGATACTCTGGCTTTACGGAAAAACAAACGATCCAGTATGATGACGAAGGTAAATCTGTCTATTCAGTTAGTTCCCCCAAGTACATCAACGAGAACAAGAACCTGGATATTTGTGTGGCTGACGCTCTTGCTAATACAGTAGTGGTAGTCAATCAGGCTGGGAAACTTAGATTTAGGTATACCGGACATACTCCTGCTCAAAAGAATGAACCATTGACTCCATAAGGAATCACCACAGACAGCCAGAGTAACATCCTTACGGCTGATTTTAACAATCACTGTGTCCACATTATAAATCAGGATGGACAGTTCCTCGGTTACATCGAGTGTGGGCTCAGTTATCCCTGGGGTCTATGTACTGACAAAAATGACAATCTTTTTGTTGCCCAGTCAAGAAACAAACAAGTGAAGAAAATCAAATATTTGCATTGAAGTTAAAAACGTCGCTGAATTGAACATGTTCAATGACAACACTGTTCACTAAATGCACGCAATGAAGAATGATCATTAAATTTTGCACTATGGACATTAACACAAATACTGACATACTGTCATTTCTCAAGAATTTTTTTTGTGTAACTTGGTTGGAATAAAATCTTCAAATCCTGTGGCTTTACAAAAATTGTGCGTAAATGAGAGACTGTTTCTTATAGACTCCAAGATATAGGAATATATACCCAGATTTCACAGTAGAAAACTTGAGCTGAAGTTTGCATGTTTTGTGTTTTCTATTAATGGCATTATCAAAACACTTGAATCGGTAGAAGTTGTTGTAAAATGTAAGTCGTCACCCTTAGTTCCTTTTACGTAAAATGAAAAAAAAAATGTCAAGATGCCGCAATACGGATAAATAAGACTTAACAAAGTTAATTTTCATATTTATCGATATAAATCGGCGCTAACGCTCCTCGGACTGTCTAATATCTGACACAATAGACAGTTTTCTACTCATATAACTACTCGTATAATTATTTAAAACTTATTCAAGATTTCAAGTCGTGTTTGTAGAATTGTCATATATATAAATCCTAAAAAAAAAAACATTATGTTTACAAAAAGATTGTTCTAAAACATCTTTTGAGTCAAAAATTTAAAAGTATGTGTTCTAGTCTTCTTATGAATTTATCCTAATGCTGTTAGCGATTGATCAAATGAATTTTGTTTTGTTTGTGAGGGTGTGTGTGTGTGTGTGAGTGTGTGAGGGTGAGTGAGGGAGGGTGTGTGTGTGTGTGTAATTGTAGCAATTCACCAATATTGTACTGTACAACTGAATTTAACTCTACCTTAAATGATCAATTAATATTTATACAGTATATAAATATAAACTACAAAATGTTTCTCTTTGTTACGCGGACTATGTATTTTTTCTGCTGCGATATTAATTTCCGTACTATAACAACCAAATAATGCATTTATTGTTAAAATAAACAAATTCTGGGATTATATAATTGTCAGACGGACGGGCCCATGTAAATGTTTGAGGTGTATTGTGCATCTGTGATAAATGAGACATAAAATGCACGAATAACTTTGTTTTGAAGTATAAGGAATATAAAACTGCAACCGAAACCCACATGTTGGTATTTAAAGGATTTCCCCAGGTTTTTCCATTTTTAAAAAAAAAAAAGGTTTCAACAATAAAAAGATATAATGTTGTAATTCCCTTGGTTTAATATGCATCTGGTTTTAATATTTGCTCCTGACATTTTTTAGAGAGGTACATGTAATTGAACCGGAAAGTCGACATATTATAGTTTTTCTATCCTACTATAGGTCTGGATTATTTCCAAAATATTTAATATTGAAGTTAAGAACGATAACTGAATGTTGCGATACATATACACGTTATTATTTTTCTGTCCAGTCAGACAACAACATATTTACACACTCCAAAAGCTATTTTTTAAAAAACAAAAAAGATAACATGGTTTTGTTTTTTCTTCAAAAAGATTTTTTTAATAAAAAATGAATCTTCACAGGTAAGATGATGACTTTTGAAGAATAATGTATTCCCATATATTAATTAATGTTTACCTTGACATTTTTATGTCGGTAAAGAAAAAAATACATGATACAATGTTACAATCGTTTACGGAGAAAAATCACACCAGCAAGTTCTTAGCAAGTTCAATAAAAACAATTACCAGAATATACTATATGCTGGTGAATACAATTTTGCTAAGCCGTCCGATTATTATCATTGATGCAGCTGTCTATAGATCCACCTCACACAGGTGTTTGTATCGTATTGATTGCAGATCGTTTTAAAATATCACCGCTTTTTCATGAGCGCCTAGTGCATAGTTATATGCAGAATACTTTATATCGCGATTACTTAACTTAGCGGGACTTTTTTGCGATGGAGGTAGGAAATGTCTGTTGGCTGGGGACAAATGTGCTATGGAATGCAATGCAAGATGAATCGTTGTAGAATTTATAAGGACAGATAAGTAAAAATTCTTTTTTTTTTAATTTTATTTTTTTTAAACACAATTCATTTCATACAGAATATTCATAATTAGTCATTGTGACATAATAATTTTGTATTTTTACATATATGAGAAAGAGAGAGAGAGACAGAAAGAGAGAGAGAGAGAGAAAGAGAGAGAGAGAGACAGAGAGAGAGAGAGAGAGAGAGAGAGAGAGAGAGAGAGAGAGAGAGAGAGAGAGACAGAGAGAGAGAGAGAGAAAGAGAGAGTGGGGGGAGGGAGGAGGGAGTGGGAAGAGAGTGAGAGTAGAGAGAGCTACAAAAAGAGTTGGTTCCACCTGTTCCACTGAGTGTCAAATTTTTCTTTTTCACCATTTTTATATGATATATATTTTTGTGTTTGGTAAAATTGATTTAAGTGTGATATTGCAAAGTGCATATTTAGAGGTTTTTCGGTACATCTAGAAGTATAAATATAATATTTTAGCCATAAAACTATAATATTCGCTATTTCATTTTGGTTATGGGCAACTGGAGATTTCTCTGTTGAAGATGATATTCAAAATTTTCAAGGAATAGTTGTACAAAATCACATTCCCATAGGATATGTTCAGTTGTCTCTACTTCTCTTTGACAAAAATTACGCTGCTTAGAATCTACCTTTCTGATTTTGAATAAAAATGAATTAGTTGCCAATATTTTATTTAGAATTCTGTACTGAAACCACTGGAGTTTACAGTTTTTTGTAATTTTAAATGGTAATTTATGGATTACTTTGGATTCCTTGTTATCTAATTCAAATAATTCAATCCATTTCTTAAAACCAGCTGACACAGAAGAGTTTTGATTTAATATTTCGTAGAAATTTTTTGATTTTTTACATTTTGATACCAGATAACAATTAGATGTAATAAGAGGATTTTCTGATTTTTGTAATTTTTTCTCAAAATTACTCCTCTTTATACAAGCTTTAACTGCATGGATTAAACTAGAATATTCTAAAAAATTAATCTTTACATCTCGATAAATATTGCAAAAGCATTCATAGCTATAAAAGGTACCATCTACTCCAATGATATCGTTGATATATCTAATATTATTGTCAAAAAGTTTTTTACTATAGAAGGTTTTCCCTCCAATATGGATATTAGGGTTATAAAACAATGGACAGTCCACATTTACCTTAGAATTACTACAAATTTTATTCAAATCAATCCAGGACTTGAACACATCAATCCAGAATTTATTTTTTAAGTTTTTTATAAGTTGAGTGATGTATTCAATTCCACAGGATGTAAATTTATACATGTTCATATTCTTTATGAAATTTTCCCACCCTTTATTAGTATAAACCAGATGTCTAATCCAAAATAATTTCAATGAAGCAATGAAAGAATATAAATTTATCATTATCAGTCCTCCATCTTCGTAGCTTTTAACAATGACATCTTTCTTAACTCTATGTGTTGAGTTATTCCATAAGAATGAGAAAAAAAGTTTTTCTAATTCTTTACAATAAACATTAGATGGATTTGGGATTGACATTAGTAAATGATTTAATATCGGTAAAGCCAAAGTCTTTATAACAGTAATTTTTCCTATTGGTGTTAAAAACCTTTTTCCCCATTGACTAAGAATGGATTTTATTTGTACTAGCTTTGGTTGGTAATTTATTTCAGGCACTTTTTCCAAGTCAACATCAAAATTTATTCCTAACAAAGTAAATCTAGTTGTTCCCCAATTAAGTTTGTAATTTGGGATTAAAACCTCATCACTGTATTTTTTTATCCAATCCAGAAACTGTGTGTTTGGAGTAATTAATACATAGTCCAGACATTTTCGAAAAAGTGTTCAAGGTATTCAGTGTTTCTAAAAGAGACTCCTCACTTCCGTCAAGAATAAAGGAGGTATCATCCGCAAGTTGAGATATCTTTTTTTCTACATTTCCAATGGTAATACCTTTTATTTTTTTATTTTTCCTAATTTGTATAGCTAAAATCTCAGCGCATATCAGAAAAATATATGGAGACAAAGGGTCTCCTTGTCTGCATCCCCTTTGAATTTTAATTACATCAGAAAAGTTACCTCCTTGATTAACCGTAGCTTTAATGTCAGTGTAGAAAAGAGTGACCCATTTTCTAATGGAAGGGCCAAAATTAAAAAAGTGCAAAGTTTTTTGTATGAAGTTCCAGGAAAGAGAATCAAAAGCTTTTTCAAAATCGATTAATAATAAAAGTCCTGGAATATCTTCTTCTTCTGTAAAGTGCATTACATCATATATCCATCTTATGTTTTCTCCAATATATCTATTTGAGATAAAACCAGTTTGGTCAGGGTTGATTATTTTATCTAAATATTTCTTAAATCTGTTTGCAATAGAGCCAGATGCTATTTTATATACAGTGTTTAGCAAAGTAATAGGACGCCAGTTTTTAATGAAATGTCTTGGCTTGTCGCCCTTAGGTAATAAAGTTATAACTCCATGTCTTTGCGTAATAGACATAATATTTTTCCTGTAACCATAGTTAATAGATCTTACAACAAAATGCCCAATATATTTCCAAAACATTTTTAAAAACTCTGTGGAAAAACCATCTGATCCTGGAGATTTGTTAGCCTTCATATTATAAAGAGTATTCGAGGCTTCTAACAAGGTTATTTCGCCCTCTAAATTGTTTGATTCTTCACAAGAAAGTTTGGGAGCATCAGTATTATTTAACTCATTATCTAGATTTAAGTCTGTATTTTCTTCTTTAATGGTGTATAGATTTTCATAGAAGGATTTAATTTCTTTCAA